TTTTTCAAATTTGAAGTTTGATATTTTCAAAAATTTGGTGCAGGGAATTTTTTTTTAGTTTCGCGACAATTTTTTTAGTACTAAAATCATTGTCTCCAAATTTCCGGTTGTTCAATTAGGCACAATCAGCGAAAATCGAGTAAACAGATAAAATGTTTGACGTATCAAAAATTCTCACAGTTTTCAAAACCCTACTTTTAAAAAGTTCGCAGTTAATTTTGAGTCACTTGGTGTTTTATTTTCGGATAAATTTACAGGAGTCTGGTGTTTTGTTGCTGGATGAACTTGAAAACATATTTTGAGCTTTTAGTGTTTCATTTTTTTCGAATTTGAACAGGTGGAGTGCCGCAGTGTTTTTTTTTTTGTTCGGGAGGCTCTTGGTGTATTATTTTGGGAGCCCATGGAAATCTTTTTGGTAAATTATTTAAAATAAATTAGGGGGACTTTGGTGTTCGGTTTTTGGAAAATTCTGACATAACTTGTTTTTGAGTTAATTTTGGGACCCCGTTTTTTTTTTGAAAATTTTAAAACATCTTGGAGTTCTAGGTATTCCTGTTTGAAAAGAATTTGAAAGTGCTTTGGATCCTCTAGTGTCTTTTCTTATAATAGTTTAATTAAATTTCTTAGAGGATACGTCATTTGCTAAAATTAGTCTTATCTTAGCAGGTACTAGCCCCGCCCACCCACCCTCTCGTCTCATAGAGAGTATGTTATCTGCTAAAATCAGTTTTATCTTAACAGGTACTAGACCCACCCACCCACCCTTTCTTTTCTTAGCGGGTATGTCATTTGCCAAAATCAGTTTTATCTTAGAGACTATCTCATTTGCTAAAATCACTCAGTGCTAAGATAAAACTAATTTTGGCAAATAACATATATACTAAGAAAAGAGAGGGTGGGTGGGCGGGGCAAGTAGTTGCTAAGATAAGACTGACTTTGGCAGATAAAATACCTTCTAAGAAAAGAGAGGGCGGGTGGGCGGGGCTAGTAATAGCTGCTAAGTTAACTATTAGCCCCGTCCACCCACCGTCTCGTTTCTTAGAGGGTATGTTATCTGCCAAAATCAGTTTTTACTTAACAGGTACTAGCCCCACCCACCCACCCTTTCTTTTCTTAGTGGGTACGTCGGCTGCCAAAATCAGTTTTATCTTAAAGGTACTAGCCCCGCCCACCCACCCTTTCTTTTCTTAGTGGGTATGTCAATTGTCAAAATTAGTTTTATCTTAGAGCCTATTTCATTTGCCAAAATCACTCAGTGCTAAGATAAAACTGACTTTGGCAAATAAAATACCTTCTAAGAAAAGAGAGGGCGGGTGGGCGGGGCTAGTAATAGCTGCTAAGTTAGCTATTATCCCCGTCCACCCACCGTCTTGTTTCTTAGAGGGTATGTCATCTGCCAAAATTAGTTTTATTTTAACAGGTACTAGCCCCACCCACCCACCCTCTCTTTTCTTAGTGGGTATGTCATTTGTCAAAATCAGTTTTTTCTTAGAAGATACTAGCCCCGCCCACCCACCCTTTCTTTTCTTAGTGGGTATGTCATTTGTCAAAATCAGTTTTATCTTAGAGCCTATTTCATTTGCCAAAATCACTCAGTGCTAAGATAAAATTGATTTTGGCAAATAACATATCTACTAAGAAAAGAGAGGGTGGGTGGGCGGGGCAAGTAGTTGCTAAGATAAGACTGACTTTGGCAAATAAAATACCTTCTAAGAAAAGAGAGGGCGGGTGGGCGGGGCTAGTAATAGCTGCTAAGTTAGCTATTATCCCCGTCCACCCACCGTCTTGTTTCTTAGAGGGTATGTCATCTGCAAAATTAGTTTTATTTTAACAGGTACTAGCCCCACCCACCCACCCTCTCTTTTCTTAGAAGGTATCTCATTTGCCAAAATCAGTTTTTTCTTAGAAGATACTAGCCCCGCCCACCCACCCTTTCTTTTCTTAGTGGGTATGTCATTTGTCAAAATCAGTTTTATCTTAGAGCCTATTTCATTTGCCAAAATCACTCAGTGCTAAGATAAAATTGATTTTGGCAAATAACATATCTACCAAGAAAAGAGAGGGTGGGTGGGCGGGGCCAGTAGTTGCTAAGATAAGACTGACTTTGGCAAATAAAATACCTTCTAAGAAAAGAGAGGGCGGGTGGGCGGGGCTAGTAATAGCTGCTAAGTTAGCTATTATCCCCGTCCACCCACCGTCTTGTTTCTTAGAGGGTATGTCATCTGCCAAAATTAGTTTTATTTTAACAGGTACTAGCCCCACCCACCCACCCTCTCTTTTCTTAGTGGGTATGTCATTTGTCAAAATCAGTTTTATCTTAGAGCCTATTTCATTTGCCAAAATCACTCAGTGCTAAGATAAAACTGATTTTGGCAAATAACATATCTACCAAGAAAAGAGAGGGTGGGTGGGCGGGGCAAGTAGTTGCTAAGATAAGACTGACTTTGGCAGATAAAATACCTTCTAAGAAAAGAGAGGGCGGGTGGGCGGGGCTAGTAATAGCTGCTAAGTTAGCTATTATCCCCGTCCACCCACCGTCTTGTTTCTTAGAGGGTATGTCATCTGCCAAAATTAGTTTTATCTTAACAGGTACTAGCCCCACCCACCCACCCTCTCTTTTCTTAGAAGGTATCTCATTTGCCAAAATCAGTTTTTTCTTAGAAGATACTAGCCCCGCCCACCCACCCTCTCTTTTCTTAGTGGGTATGTGATTTGCCAAAATCACTCAGTGCTAAGATAAGACTGATTTTGGCAAATGAGATACCTTCTACGAAAAGAGGGGGTGGGTGGGCGGGGCTAGTAGCTGTTAAGATAAGACCGATTTTGGCAAATGACACCCTCTAAGAAAACTAACTTAGCACCTAGTAGCCACGTCCACCCACCCTATTTTTTCTTAGAGGGTGTCATTTGCCAAAATCAGTTTCATCTTAACACATATTGATGACTTACTTTTACAAAAAATTATCAAAATTTGGAAGCATTCTATTTGAACAAACTGAAGTATCGGTAATTGAAAATTATGTAATTAAACAAAAAATTATAAACACTGCAATAAGCTGAGTTAGGAATGGCCGAACTGATGGGGAATCAATCAGACAATTATTAAATAGGACGGCGCGACGTCGGGCGATAAATTTGGCTGGCCGACTGTGCACTCTCATCCTCAGCGGCGTGTGATGCAATTCAGGGTTTATTTGTTCAAGATCATCACGAAAATTGTGATTTTCTTAATTTTTAAAGCAATTTTAGAATTTTAGAAGAAAAATTAGTTATTCTTATTAGAAATTCTCGAAGTAGGCCACAACTGCATTAGCGCTGGCGATCGAACCGTAATGAGGACCACTTCCGCTATGCCGAAGACTGGTAATAAGACTCAATTTTATGTTTATTATTCTAGCATATTTCGTGAACCCTTGCTTCTAATAATTATGTATTTATATATTTTTTTAAATTTTTAATGTTTAAACATATGTAGTATAAAATTTTCGAAAAATTTTAAAATATCAATTTTTTAAATTCCAAAAAGCACCGAATCGTGAAGAATTTAAACCTAAAATTTCAAGTCAAGATTTTTTTGTATTTCTAATAATACATGAGATATCGAGGTGCGCACGTTTAGTGACTCACCCTGTATATAAAAAAGATCTTTAAAAGACGTGAGAACCTTCTAAATATTTTCGGAGATTTTTTTTATTGAGAAAATTTGGTATGACAGAAGTTGTGTACATCGAAGGTGAGCTTTTGAAAATTTCCGAAACAAGTGATTAAGTTGATTCCCCTAAAATTCAAATTTCCAACTTTCTCAAAGTTGTCGAACAATTTCTTTTAAGTTAGCTATTTTTTAATGGAAGGAATTGCTCTGTACCTGCTTATATTTTTTAAATATGTCTGCAGGGTCTTTTAAAATTTGAAGAAAAAAGCGATTCACTAGAAACTGCTTATAAATTTATTGTATTTATATTTTTAAAAAAGCCAAAAAGTTTCGTGTAATTTCTGAAAAATTTAATTTTACAAATTAACCCCATATATGCAGTAACGTTTTTAATATGCTTCAGAGACGAGGGAATTCTAGCGAAACAGATGAAAGCTTGTCAGTGGTAAACAATTCATTACTTAAGAGAATTGATCTAAAAAGTTGAGGCAGTACTTCCCTGCCCTCTGAAGCGTGACCAGTACCCACTAGACCTACTAACATAATGATTATAAATAAATTAAAATGCAAATATGTAATAATAATGGCAATGAACTTTTTTTACTGGTTATAATAAGTTCGCATCTGACTATATAAAGATGATTTCAGACGAAAACATCGATAAGCAATGACAAAAAAAAAAAATAGTTATTTAGCGTTAAGGCTCACCAGTGCGTATTACCGGTGGAGGTTAATAATAATGAGAGACTTCTGCAAAGCGGTGACGTCAAAATCGCATGTTATAGAATCACTTTCGGAAAACCGAAAAAAAAACAGAAGATTTGTTTTTCTCAAATATTAACATATTTCCAAGGCCACAAGTTTACCTCGATTTGCAGAAACAGAAAAAACCGTAAACACAAAACATACATACAAAAGTGACGTCATTCATAACCGTTTAATTAAATTTTTGTCACGACCTTACCGCAGATTATACCGATGATCACAAATAGCCTTCTTACTCAGAACACCACCACAAATTCACAACACCACCTCCAACGCAACCCGACACCTCAAACCCGGCTCTCCGGAACTTCCATAACCCCATATTTCGCTCAACCATTTTCCAGCGAATGGCAACGCCACAGCCCCCCGGATTCACGGTGCGTTCCTCCAGCATCGCGCCGCACCGGATTTCCGCGGCGGCGGCGTATTGTCATTTAGATTTCTTGTAATTAGTGGAAATGGAGCGAGTGCGAAATGCAATTTTGCAACAGCGATTCGAACGAAAGCGATTTGAGGTAATTGGGGGGGCAGGGGAGCGGAACGGTCGAAGAAAAATGCCGAGATGTTACGTAAAGAGACTCACCTGTTCGGGGATTTCGACGACTACTGGATGGATGGGTTTTGTATTGGGTGCGCGATTTTCGGACGTCCTTGGAGGATATGTTCATTGTTACGATGGCAATAATCGCGATACACAAGGTTGTGTGAAAAATCACGAGCATCCTTTCACGCATCACGATTTTTGATATTTAACGGAAAAAAATTACGGAGGAATAATGACGGTGGTCAATGGCGGTGGCTGATTGTATCGGGTTTTGTCGGGTGGGAGGTGTTCATGAGGTGCACCCTTGGAATTGGTGGGTTTTTTCTCGTGGTGGCTGGGTATTTTCGACAAAGTTTGTAAAAAGTAATTCACTAAGTCAGTCAAGCAGTCACTAATCCACAAGGTAACTAAGTCAGTCAGTCCGTCAATCACTAAGTTAATCGATCAGTCAGTCACTAACCCATTAAGACAGTCATTAAGTCAGTCAATCAGTCAGTAAGCCAATAAGTCACTAAATAGGTCAACCAGTCACTAAGTCACTATTTCTATAAGTCATTAAGTCACTGAGTTAATCACTCCATCACTAAGCCACTAGCTTACTAACTGGGCCTGTCAGTTACTAACTAGTCAATCAATCATTACGTCGCTAAGACATTAAATCACTAATTGCATCAGTCAGCCACTAAGTCAGTAAATTAGTCACTATATCATTTGGTTACTAAATCAATCACTCAGACCAGTCAGTCAGTCAGTAAGTAAGTAAACCAATAAGTCACTAAGTAGATCAACCAGTCACTAAGTCACTGAATATGTACATCAATCAGTCACTGTTTCGCTAAGTCATTAAGTCACTGAGTTAATCACTCCGTCGCTTAAGCCACTAATTCACTGACAATATCAGTCACTAAGTCAGTGAATCAGTCACTGTATCATTTTATCACCAAGTCAGTCAATCAGTCCTTCAGTCAGTTACTAAGTCAATCACTCAGACAGTTAGTCACTCACTCACTCACTCAATCTCTAAGCCACTAAGTCAATCGGTCAGTCAGTCACTAAGTCAGTCAATCAATCAGTCACTGAGTCAGTAAAGCAATTATCACGTCACTGGGTCACAAAGTTATCAGTCCTTTTTAACTTTTTTTTTGGAAAATGTTTGGAAATTATTTTGCCACTTTCATCAATTATGTCAAAACCCATAAAAAAATTTAAGTTAGTTCTTTTTTTCATTCGAATGGAGCCCCCTTTAAATTTTTTTGCACTTTCTTGGAAATTATATATTATAGGTTCCGTTCTTTTTGATTATTTTAAGAAAAAAACAAAAATAATTTCAAATTTGTAATCAACGGAAAATTCTGTATCAGCTAATGTTTTCTTCGTTTCGATACCACAATTGAATATTTTTTAGTAAAATTTCTGAAAATCATTTTCTCAGTTTTCCCGATTTCTTATAAGAAGTTACGATAAAAATGACTTTGGATTTATTTATAATTTCCCAAAAATTCTCTGTAAGACAAATTTTTTTCTTAATCGAACAGAGCTTGACCAAAATTTGTTTGTAGTTGAGGGAAAATCTTGGGAAACAATGGAATATTTTTTAGTAAAATTTTTGGAAATCATTTTGACAGATTTCTCGATTTATTTGAAGAACATGTAACAAAAATTAGTTCAGTTTCATATTCTACGAAAAATTTCTAGTTTGGGCAGCATTTTTTTTTTGTAGACCCAAACTTTTTTGTGAAATTTTTGGAAATTATCTTGACATTTTTTTCATTATTTCAGGACCTGTTTTCAAGTGACTTGAGACCCGTAATCTATGCAGCATTTGCTACAGACTCGATTTTTTTTTAGTAGTATCACTTTTTCAAAAATTACTTCAACATTTTTTCCTAGGCTAGTGTTTTTTTTCGTTATGATAGCACGATGGAATATTTTTAGCAAAATTTTTGGAAATTATTTTTCTAAATTTCTCGATTTTTTTAAACAACATTTAATAAAAATGACTTCAAATTTTTTCTTAGATCCAAACTTTTTTTGAGAAATTTTTGGAAATTATTTTCACATTTTTCTTTATTAATGTAAGACCTGTTTTCAAGTGGTTTCAAACGCTTATCCATCCAAAATTTTCTAAAAACTCGAAGATTTTTTTTCCAGAAGCGTCACTTTTAGCTTTTTTTTTTTGGAAAATTTTTGGAAACTTTTCCAAGTTTTGTCGGTTTCTTTTATGAACTTGTGACAAAAGTGGCTTCAGATTTGTAATTTCCGAAAACATCTCTGTAAGCAAATTTTTTTTATTCGAACGGAGCTTGAACAAATTTTTTTTGTAAAATTTTTGGAAATTATTGAGTCACAATTTTTTCAAGACTTGTACCAAAGTTTAAGTCAGTTCTTATTTTTCATTCGAATACAACTCAGTTGAATTTTTTTTGAACATTTTTTATTTCTTCCCGATTATTTGAAGAGGAAAAGCAGAAAGATCAAAATTTTTTTTGGGAAATTGTTGGAATTTATTTTGACATTTTTCAACATTATTTCAAGACCTGTTTTCAAGTGACTTCAGATGCGTATTGTATGCAAATTTTTCTACAAACTCGAAGAAATTTTCTCAGTTTTTTCGATTTATTTTAAGAACTAACGACAAAAGTGAAAGATTTGTAATTTCCGAAAACATCTCTGTAAGCCAATTTTTGTTTATTCGAACAGAGCTTGAACAAATTTTTTTGTAAAATTTTTGGAAATTATTGAGATACAATTTTTTCAAGACTCGTACCAAAGTTTAAGTCAGTTCTTATTTTTCCTTCGAATACAGCTCAGTTGAATTTTTTTTGAACATTTTTTAATTCTTCCCGATTATTTGAAGAGGAAAAGCAGAAAGATCAAAATTTTTTTGGGAAATTTTTGGAATTTATTTTGACATTTTTCAACATTATTGCAAGACTTGTTTTCAAGTGACTTCAGACGCGTAATGTATGCAAATTTTTCTACAGACTCGAAGATTTTTCTTTTTATTAGCGTCACTTTTAACTGTTTTTTTTTTTTTTTGAAAACTTTCTCAGTTTTCCCGATTTATTTTAAGAACTAACGACAAAAATGACTTTAGATTTGTAATTTCCGAAAAATTCTCTGTTAGACAACATTTTTTCTTATTCGAACAGAGCTTGAACAAATTTTTTTTGTAAAATTTTTGGAAATTATTGAGACACCATTTTTTCAAAACTTGTACCAAAGCTTAAGTCAATTCTTATTTTTTTTTTCATTCGAATACAACTCAGTTTATTATTATTATTTTTTCATAGTCTATGGGAAATCTTGTAGCAGCTAATGTTCTCTTCGTACGACAGCACGATTGGAATATTTTTTATTAAAATTTTTGGAAATTGTCTTTCCAGGTTTCTCGATTTTTTTGGAAAACATCTAACAATGGCTTCAACATTTTTTCTTAGATCCAAACTTTTTTTGGTAAATTTTTGGATATTATTTTGACATTTTTCAACATTATTTCAAGTAAGTGTCTTGAGACGCGTAATCTATGCAAAATTTTCTACAAACTGGAAGATTTTTCGTTTTAGTAGTGTGACTTTTATTATTATTATTATTTTTTTTTTAAATTTTGATCATTGTCCAAGTTCACCCGATTTCTGTTAAGAACTTAAGACAAAAGTGACTTCAGGGTTTGTAATTTCCGAAAAATTCTCTGTGAGGCAAATTTTTGTCTTCTTCGAACAGAATTTGAGGATTTTTTTTTTTGTAAAATTTTTGGAAATTATTGAGACACAATTTTTTCAAGACTTGTGCCAAAGCTTAGGTCAGTTCTTATTTTTCATCCGAATATAGCTTATTTTTTTTTTGTATTTTTGGATTCTTCCCGATTATTTGAAAAGGAAGAGCAAAAATAACTTCAACTTTTTTGTAGTCAGTGGGCAATCCTCTAGCATCTAGTGTTTTCTGTTTTCTTCGCTACGATAGCACGATTGAATATTTTTCATTACGATTTTTGGAAATTATTTTCTCAGGTTTCTCTAAAAACATTTAACAAAAATTACTTAAAATTTTTTCTCAAATCCAAACTTTTTTTGAGAAATTTTTGGAAATTATGACATTTTCCTTCATTAATGCAAGACCTGTTTTCAAGTGATTTCAAACGCTTAATCAATCTATCCAAAATTTTCTAAAAACTCGACGATTTTTTTTTCAGTAGCGTCACTTTTAACTTTTTTTTTTTGGAAAATTTTTGAAAATTATTTTCCCAGTTTTCTCGATTTCTTTTAAGAACTTATGACAAAAGTGACTTCAGATTTGTAATTTCTGAAAACTTTTCTGCAAGCCAATTTTTTTTTTATTCGAACAGAGTTTGAACAATTTTTTTTTTTTGTAAAATTTTTGGAAATTATTGAAACACAATTTTTTCAAGACTTGCGCCAAAACTTAAGTCACTTTTTATTTTTCATTCGAATATAGCTCAGTTTAATTTTTTTTTGAATATTTTTGGATTCTTCCCGATTATTGGAAAAGGAAGAGCAAAAGTAACTTCAACTTTTTTGTAGTCAAGCTAATGTTTTCTTCGCTACGATAGCACGATTGAATATTTTTTAATAAAATTTTTGGAAATTATTTTCCCAGGTTTCTCGATTTTTTTGAACATTTAACAAAAATGACCTCAAAAGTTTTTCTTAGTTCCAAACTTTTTTGGAAAATTTTTGGAATTTATTTTGACATGTTTCAACATTATGTCAAGACCTGTTTTCAAGTGACTTCAGACGAGTAATCAATGCAAAATTTTCTACAAACTCGAAGATTTTTCTTTTTATTAGCGTCACTTTTGACTTTTTTTTTTAAATTTTCTCAGTTTTCCCAATTTCTTTTAAGAACCAATGACAAAAATTACTTTAGATTTGTAATTTCCGAAAAATTCTCTGTAACCAAAGCTTAAGTCAGTTCTTATTTTTCATTCGAATACAGCTCAGTTTATTATTATTTTTTCATAGTTTTCTTCGTACGACAGCACGATTGAATATTTTTTATTAAAATTTTTGGAAATTATTTTCCCAGGTTTCCCGATTTTTTTGGAGAACATTTAACAAAAATGGTTTCAAAATTTCTTCTTAGATCCAAACTTTTTTTAGGAAATTTTTGGAAATTATTTTTACATTTTTCAACATTATTTCAAGACCTGTTTAATCA